GGCGGGCGGCGCTCGTTGCTACTCGTGGCGTCTGGCGGGAGGGGGGAACGCCGCTAAGCCAGGACAGCTGACCGCGCGGGGAGGCTGCGCGGCCCCAAACCGCTGTACTGGGCGACCGTGAGGCCTCGCGAGGACCTCAGTTGCAGAGAACGCACAAGAACAAGAGGAGAACCCAGGCGTCACAACATGTCGCCGGCCCTACAGGCTCACAACCCCCACACCACGATCCACGTGTGTATTGAGTATGCGTGAATACACCAGCCCTCACCTGGGGAGAGGGGTAGATGGTGAAGCCCAGCTTGGACTTCTTGCCATAGTCCACCGACAGGCGCTCCAGCAGCAGCGAGCCCAGGCCCGAGCCGGTGCCGCCGCCGACGGCGTTGAACACCAGGAAGCCCTGCAGGCCGGTGCAGTTGTCTGCGAGCTTGCGGATGCGGTCCAGGGCGAGATCCACGATCTCCTTGCCGACTGGGGGTTTGGGTTTTGCGTGGCAGGGGGCGTGCGCGGGGTGAGTGTCGTGAGCGTTGCTGGGAGTGGTTGAGAGGTTGAGGCTCTGACAGTGTGGGCGGCTGGAGGTGCACGTGCCAGCCTTGCCTGAGGCTGCTGATTCCTTGCTAGACGCTAAAACAGTGCTTGGGGTGCAGCAGGCAACAGGCAGTGGCGCGCGTGCATTCAAAACGACAGCTGTCGACGTGCGCCCGCCAGCTGGGCGCTTGCATAGTGCAGATCGGCCCAGGTTTCCAGGCCCTCACTGGTGTAATGGCCGCGGGCAAAGTTGTTGGCGGCGTCCTCCTTGCCAGAGATCAGCTGCTCGGGGTGGAACAGCTGCCTGTAGGTGCCGGTGCGGACCTCGTCCACCACGGTGGGCTCGAGGTCGAGGAAGATGCAGCGGGGCACGTGCTTGCCGGCGCCGGTCTCGGAGAAGAAGGTGTTGAAGGCGTCGTCGCCGCCGCCGATGGTCTTGTCGCTGGGCATCTGAGGGGTTTGTTAGATATGTTTGAGAGGTGGTAAGGAAATGAACGATTGGAGGCCCTGTGTTGTCGAGGTCGCGGCTCGGCAGCGGCAGCCAGGCCAGGCTGGGTCGGGGCGGCGGCTGCCAGCTTGCTGCTGCTGCACTGCCAATTCACCAAGGACGTTCGCATTATTGTGCGCGGATGCGCACCTGGCCATCGGGCTGGATGCCGTGCTCGAGGCAGTAGAGCTCCCAGCAGGCGTTACCGACCTGCGGGGTGCCGTATGGGCAGGGGTTCGAATGGAGTGAGGCAGCCAGATCATGATGCACGGCGGCACAGCAGCGACATAGACGGCGATGAAGCACGTGTGCGGCGCTTGCGGCTATCAGGAGTGCACATTGGGGTGGCAGGGTGCAGCAACCGCATGGCAGGCGGTAGGTGTGATGAGGTGGGGTGGGCGCGATCACGGCGGGAAGGCGTCAGATCGGGGCGTGGGGCAGCGGCGGTGGCAGGGCTTGTGTGACGAGTCTGCACGGTGTTGACGGTGCAGCTGCGCGCACCTGGATGCCGGCCTGGCCAATGTGGATGGAGATGACCTCGCGCATGGTTGCTGTTCGCTTGCTGTGCGGTCCGGGGAGGTTTGTTGCGGCGAGAAAGGGACACAGGGACGCTGGCTTCAAGGACCAGGGACCTGTGTTGAATGTCTGGCAAAGAATTATGGCGTTGAAACGGCGATTTCTGGCTTTTCACCATTCTCATCAACACGGCCCGCCGGGCTGCCCCTGCCTCTTGGCGGTCTCTTTGATCGGTAGTCGAGGTATCAGGGCGACAGAGAATGTCGTGATGCTGGCGGGACAGGGCCCGGGGGTGCTGAGGCACTATGGGAGTGGGGCGAGGTGCTGGTTTTTTTGAATGTCGCTGGGCTCCGGTGGCGCCCGTGGGGCCTGATCAGGATACCCACGCCCACGATATGGTTCGCATAATCTTTATGATATTGTTGCGGGTGGTTTGGCAACAAAGCGTGCCCAGTTGCGTGGAAAGCATCAGCCGCAGCGACACCGTCGTCGCGCTGCAGCAGCTCAGCAGCGGCAGCGTCAGCGGTTGCGCATCGCGCCTTTTCCCCCTTCATCGACTAGCAGCTCCTGACTTCCATCCTGAGATTTGTACACACGTTGGCGCTGCCACGCAAGCACGGGTGTGGGGCGGCGACACCCTGCAAACCTCACCACCCCTTGGGTAGGCCACCCAGCTGAGAAGGCCCAGCTAGCATTGTCAGGGGCGCGATCGCCGGCAGCGCGGCAGCCACCCCCCAGCCATGCAGGCAGCGCAAAGCATGCCAGGCCTAGGCCGTATCCAAAAAACGCCCAACTGTCAAAAAGGCGCGCCCGCCTAGGTATGCCGGCCAGACCCGGCGTTCATTCGAAGCATGCCCGGCCCCAGATAGACACTTGCTTACAGCACCCGGTCAAACCGGTCAAAGCATCCCTCTGACCGCACTGCCAGTCACAGCCCCACCGCCGCCGCGCCCCGGCGCGCCGCCGGCACCGACGCGACCGGCGCGAGCGCCGCGGCGCCGAACGACCGCGCGACCTGCGCCGGCGACGGCGCGCCGTACAGCGTCGTGCGCTGGCGCGGCGCGCGGCCGGCGGCGCGGATGAGCTCCTCCATCCTCTCAGGCTGCAGCTC